ACTATCAGATGAGATTTTGGAGACCAGGAGCTTTGGCAAAAGGAAGAGAGTTAAAAAGAATGTTGCAAGCCATCAAGATGAATGTCTGCCTGTGAAAGTGCAATGGTGGCTGATGATTGCCAAGATGATGTGATAATTAAAAAGATGAAGGGGATGAGATTGCTTAAGGCTAGAAAGTGGAGAGTGACATGGTAATAAGACACTTATGGTGGGGATAATGCAATAAGTGAAGCTTTTGATGGAGGAGATCAAGTTAATAGTTTGATAAAGAAATGCATGTAGTTAACCTATCAGAATATTAGCAATATCTGTAGGAAGTTGCTTGTAATAAATAATTTTTCTAAGTTCATGAAATGAAAGCTTGTTTAGAATCTTATGTGTTGTACTAGTTGGCTAAGTTGTGCAGTATATCTTTTAGAAGAGTTGATCTTCATTCTAATTTCATAATCACTCTAATATGTTAAGATCAACTACATTTTAATACTAATTCTGTTTGGTTTTAATTTGCTATATTACTGATTAGCTTTTTTATTTAGTAATTGGCTATTTTCATTAAATATTACTTATGTTTGGTTTTAACTTTGGCTATATAAAAAGTAAACAGTTGGTGTATGAAGAGGATAATAAGTTATTGTGGTATTTGTGTAGGTTATTATGTTCCTTTTGAATTGACTTGTCCTGTAATTATTGCTAGTATGACCATTGGAAAGGTATCTTGAAATTAAGATCTGTTTCAGTTTCCGAAAATCAAATTTGTTCAAGTCTTTTCTTGTCAAAGTAATATTTAATTGCAATTAATATGCTATAAATTTCTAGCAATAGTTTTGATATATATATATATATGGCAGTGTTTGCTATTCTATAAATTAGCCATTAAATTGTTATTATAAGCTAAGAATAGACACATACTTTAGTGATTTGAATAGGAATTTCAATGGCAAAGTGTGCAATGACATTTACTATTCACTACATGAAGATCATCACAAAAATAAGCTGGTATGAAATTTATAATTATTGATTTATTACTGTTGTTATGTTTGTAAAAAAAAGTAGTTGTAGTTATTTAGTTTTGTTAGACTTCCTTCTTATTTGCTCTTGTTTGTTTGTTGCTTATACATTAAACTGATATTTCGCTAATGTGTATTAACTTACAGCGTATTCTTGATGAATTTAAGAACATCTTGAATGATGGTTCTAAAGGAGTTGATCTGTAATTGCATAAATATGGTAGAGTTTGGGAAGCTACTATGGCACATGAAGAGGATAGAGATGGTTGGATAACTGTATTAGAAGATGGTTGGGCTGAATTTGTAAAAGATAATAGGATAAGTATTGGGGATATAATGGATTAAAGTTTACATACATAGGGGATATCTCTTTCTCTGTGCAGATTTTAAGGCCATCAGGAAGTAAGAAAGCACAAGGATCTGGAAGTGGCAAGAGCACTGGTGGTTTTAGCAAGAGGCGTGGACGCACACCTGCTTACCATGGTAGTTCTGCAAAGATGATCGAGACAAATGAATAGATTAATGACCTTGCACATAGCTGTCTTGAGCCACATTTTAAATTCATTTTCACTGCAGTTTACCTTATGTTACGAACAATTGTAAGTGATGCTAATAAGTAATACTTGTGGTGAAGTGTTACTGTGTTTGAAGACCCTTTTTTCTAATGAAATATTCTTGTTTTCTTTCATTTCATTGTTTGCAGAAAGTTCTTGTTGATTTTGCTAATAATTGGTTGAGTGAATTTAGTGATTCAGCTAATGTACTCCTCCAGAACTCTGGTGAACAGATTGCTGCTAGGTTGAAAGTTACGAAGAAGGATGGCCTCATTACTATGTGTGAATTATATAGTGGTGTTAAGGAATTTGCTTCTCGGTATAGTGTTCAAAAGGACGAAGGTGCACTGATTAAGTACCGAGAAGGAAATCCTCCAGAGTTTGATGTAGGTCTAGTCCTAATTTGAGTATTTCAAAATGATCATCTGTTTAAGCTTTAAGAACACAATAAGAGTAGTATGATGATTATAATTCAATTTAGATCTTTGTATTGGTATATTTAAATGGTTGTATGACTTACTATGCTAATTTAAAGTAGGTATCTACTTACAATTTACATTTTAGATTTACAATGTTGCTTAGTTTTATTCATTAGCTTCTTAGCTTAATCATATCTGAATAGTACTTATGCTCATTTTTATTGAACGTGCCTTGGATATGTATTCTTTAAGCAAGACATGTATGCTACATGTGTATGAGCTGTATAGTGCTGTAACTTGTGTACTTTAAGAGCGCAAACTATTATCCATGAGATTTTCTACAAAGTCTTCTAATTTTCAGTCAATATGAGAGTAGCACCTTTAATTAACCTCTAGGTAAGAACTTATAACCCACCTAGGTTATATAACAGGAGAATGAAGTGCTACAATTCTCACATTTCACAAGCATTCATTATTCAAGATACTATCTTGTTGTGCAAAAAGTAACCTTGTTTCTATGGCAAGTAAAGGTAAAGAGAAGGCTGATGGCAGTGCTCAGTATGAGGCAGCCAAGCATATCAGTCTAGAGGCGGTGGAGGAACGCGTTAGGTATCATGAACAGAAAGTAGGAGAGCTAGAAGTTATTGTTGCTGCTCTTTGTTTTGGTGAACCAGAAAACAATCAACCTAATCCTAAGAGAGTATGCTCCATTAATCTTGCTGAAAATTAAGCAAATTAGAAACTTGAGGGAGAAACCAGCACTTATAGTGCTCAACTTTTTATTCCTGGTTCTGAGATTCATCACCATTTTAGCACATCATGCTTAGCTGGAAGTGATGCCTCACAAGGTGGTTCATTTTAAGGTGGGAGTACTTTTGTAACCTTTATGGTTGTAAGGTTTATCTAGCTATCCTAAATCACTTATCTAGCCTTGTCTAAGTTAGATGCATAATGTTATAATTGCAAAAGTTGCTAGCTACTTTAGTGTGTTGTTTCTTATGTATTTAATCAATGTAAACTAATGGTATTTGATACTTTTGCTATTATTTATCTATGAATTGTGAATGAGCACTTGTTGCACACTATTGCTTCACAAAGTGCAGCTTCACAAATTGTTGCCTAACAAATTGCTACCAATGATGTGAAATAAATTCACCATATTCACAAAATTCATTGCTACCAAAATTATAACTCCTTTTTTTTTTGTAATTAGTCTAACATGATTTAAATGTTGCTTGCTACTTTAATTAGAACTTTTTGCTTTTTAATATTTGCAGAATAAGTAGTTTGTTTGCTGATTTTTTAGACTGAGTTTGGGCTATGAGATTTTTTGATGCATAAGTAAACTGTATAAAGCCATA